AATGATGTATTTTAAACAGAGTTGTAAAAATGCATTAAATTTTTTAATGCATAGCATTTTAATGTAAATGAAAAAGATTAATGCATTAATTTTTGATATTTAATGTAAATGAAAATTTCAATGCATTAATTCCGAAGAAATAATGCTAATGATGTTTTTTTTATTAACATTAAAATGATTAAATGAATGCTATTGCAATAATTTATTGCATTAAAATTATAACAAGCATTAAAAACCCATTAACTAATTTTATTTTGAAGTAAAAAGGTCAAAAGATAGTGACGGACGTTAAGGCTGGTTTTCACTATGTCAAGTTCAATGGCATTTGTCGTTAAATAGGTAAAATCACATTGCCAAATGGAGCTAAAAAACGGTTTATTGATTGATTTAGATCAGAGTAGGTCCTCAGTCGTGTACATGCGCTGCTAAACTGGCTATCTGTCCGTTTTTGGCTCATACTTAATATATGTAATCAGTATGCATCAAAAATCAACATAAAAATCTACAAAAGCACTCTGCGTTGCATGCATTGAAATATTCATTTGCATTAGATTTCATAAATTAATGCATTAATTTTTTACATTAACATTATTGCTTTAAATACCATTAATGCATTAAAAAATTAATGAATTTTTCACAACTATGATTTTAAATTAATATACCTAGATATTGAAAAAACATAATTATTGGAAAGCGGAAAAATTTGATTTGCAGGCCTGTGTAATCCAACAGAAATTAGCTCAATTTTTCTAGCATACTAAAAAATCCAATGCCGCTAAGTTTTCGCGAAAATGAAAATGCGGTTGTGAAATTAACTGACAGTTCATGGCTGGTAATATTTATCAAGATATATTGCTTTCCATGACCAATATGCTGTCTCCATTGACAATACAATACATATTGTCTAATACACTTAGGTCTCTTTTTATGCGTTTTTTTTATGCGGATTTGAATTTATGCGATTTTTCAAACCATTATTTCGCAGTAAAGATTTTGTTTTTTTGAGAGTTTTTATTACTTTTTTTCAGTGTGTAAGAGGCAATGCTTCTGATAAATAATTTGTCTTTGTATTATTACATAATTCATGTATTTGTTGTGGTATTTTTATTTATTTTTGGTTAAAATACAGATAAAATTTTATCCATTTCATTAATGTTCAGTTTTACATGGAATAATAAGTGTTGAAGTGAAGAAATAAATAGTTTTTTTGCTTAATAATGCCTCACTGAATTTTTTATGCGGATTTTTAGAATTTTTTACATGGAGTATCTGAATTTATGCGGTTTTCGAAAATGCTGGAACGCATCCCCTGTTTTTGTATGAAAGTAAAGAACTTTTTTATGCGAATTTTTTTTAATGCGGCTTTCTGAGGAACACGTGCACCGCATAAAAAGAGACCTAAGTGAGTGATGCACACGGGAGTCTCCGGGAGCTACTCGGCTTTCACATACAAGTCGTGTGTGCGCAGGTAGCGAACTTTTGCGATGCTAGCAGCGAATTAGTTTCCCTGCAGAAAAAAATTATCAATTGATAAAAAATAACCCACGTGTAGTTAGCTTTTTTGCGTGATTTCTATAAAATATATAACTTGTAATTAGCTACAAAAAGCTAACTTGAAACTAGTTGACAAGTAATGCAGGAGTAATGATGGAGATTGTTTTCTTTAAACGCGTTTCTATTTAAATATCCTGCACTTCGCAAGTACTTTTTCGAATTGAGGACAAATAAAAGGAAGATCGAAATTTCATATTATCATTTTAAAGTTGTGTCTGACGGAGTTCGAATATGGGACCACCTACAGCAGAATATGGAAACAAATATGAAATGTAATAAAATAAATGAAGTAAATAAAAAAAAATAAAAAATAAAAAAATATTTTGTTTTTCCTATTGATATTTTATGTCCAAAAGTAGTTAGTTACAGGTTAGTTACCTCAAATGCAGAGGTAACCACCCTTGACTACATCTAATGCAGAGGTAAACCACCCTTGACTATTTCGCGGCCATCGCCATTGAAATATAGTTAGCTTTCGTCAAAGAAAATATACAGATAATAAGTGACTTTTAGCTCCTTCCTAATCAACTTGAAGTTAGCTTATAGTTTGATACATTTCCTGCAGGGTTGCGTTCGCTAATGTACACATACTAAGAAAAAAATGTTGCGCTGGTATTGGTAGTTCAGTCGACGCTGTGCACCACTGCTCTAATAACATGATCGAGAAAAAGCGGTTGCCTGTGGAGATGCATAACCAGGGTCGCTATTTTTCTTTGCCCATTAGTAAAGACTAATGACACTGCGTTGCATAATTATAAGACCGCCACATATTAACAAATTTTGACTTTTTATTTTTATACTATTTAATATTAATTATTTTCTTATAAAAATATAGTTCATTCTATATCAAACACCATACAAACTTTTGTGCAAATATTATAAAAATTCAGCATTTATAGCTCAAGCAGTTTTAATTTTTTTTTGCCCATTAGTATTGACATTACTACACTGCGTTGCATAATTATAAGAGCGCCACATAGTAACTAATTTTAATTTTTATATTAGGGGTCTTCATCAAAAGTGATAAACTGTTGATAGACTTGATAAAATGATAAATTGATTAGGTTGATAAATGAACTGTCACACTTTGTATGGAAATCTCTTTAACCAAAGTGTATCACTTTATCAAACGACTTTGCTGGATAAATTTATAAATTTCAGAAAAATTTAACCCTTACAGGTTCCGAGGTGGGCGCTTTTGCTACGAACACATTAAAACAAATGAACACAATGGACGAGGTAAGAATAAAACGTAACTAGCCATATAAGTTAAGTAATAAACAATTTTATGCAATTATTTACCAAGGTGCGTTCACGAAAGAATGCGGATAAACTGATCAATTTAAGCAATTTATACCTTTATTACCTTATATGAAGACTCCTATTATTTAATTTCAATTATTTTCTTATAAAAATACTGTTCATTCAATAAAAAACGCCATAAAAATTCACATTTTCAACTTTGTGCAGAATTATAAAAATTCAGCGAATTTTTATCAAAATTTTCCACTTTTTTTAAGAATTAAGGTTTTGGGTACGCAGTTTTATAGCCCATGCAATTTTAGTATAATAAGGTGCGTTGATTTTTGGCATTTTTATTTTACGGCGCCACTCATTCTCTATGTATGTTCGAACTTTTTTTTGTATGGAAGAAAATGAACAACACTGTCCACAAAAAAAAAATTGCAAAAATCAACGGTAATATGTACGTAGTGCATGGAATTATGTTAACTTATTCTTTATTTACATATGTGTTAAAAAAGAATGTAAAACAGATTTTCAATGTGGAGTATTTGTTCTCCTAGAATGCTAAAAAATTCCCGGCACCTTAATAATCATGTCAATGGAAATGATATTTTAAATGATTTTACGATCAAATGTGCTGTACAGTATCGATACGTCGCTTGAATCCAATATCATTTACTAAATTTGCTATAACTATTTAACCGACTTCCAAAAAAGGGGGATGTTATCAGTTCGTCAGAATATTTTTATTTTTTATGTATGTTACCGCATAACTTTGCACCACGTCAACCGATTTCAATAATTCTTTTTGCATCGGAAAGGTAGTGTCGCAGAGGTGGTCCCATACTAATCTGGTTAAGATCCCATCAGTGGATCATAAAATATATATATATATATTTTTATATGAGAGTTGAAGTCGGTTTTTTGCTAAAAATTACTTGTCTATTTTCAAATCGATTTGCAAAATAATTGGATCTATTACTTTGAAATTAAATAAGCTTTAATAAAGCATAAAAATAAGAACAAAAGCTTGCAGCTTTTAGGTGTGATTCGCGACTTAAAATTGTGTCCGATTTCACCACAAATTTGCAGATCACTTAAAATGATAATTGGATTGCAAAACATTGTATAGCAGGTTCATAGGGATTTCGAAGACCTTTAATCTGGTGGAGAGCTTTTTGCGATGTGAGAATAAGAACTGGATATTTTTGAAAAGGATTTAGAATGCTGTTTCCTCAATTAAAAAAAAAAAACGGTGATTTCGCAAACTCTTCACCATATTCAACCATATTCAACCTCATATTCAGTGAGTTATATCACATAGCAAATGACTATAAAATGCACGATTTTCAACTATTTGTTTAAACATTATTTTCCCTGACTGCATATGGTTTTCTAAATTTTAAATGCAACGCTCAAGTACTTAGAGTTATCATATTCGAATAAAATTTTGCACAGCTTATTTTTAGACCAAGACATCTTTATCCGCCTGGCAAACTGTATATTAAAAAAAAAAGTTGAAATAGCGAACGGTCTAATCTGCACATATGTACATACATATCGTCGTTTAAAGTAAAAAACCGCGTATCAACAAAATGCAAAACCACGTATGTGAGGTTGCATAAATTATTTTCTAGAGTAAAAACACTCATATTTCAAAATGGTTCTTTTTTATAAAGCAATATGGCTAGTATATTTCAAGACGAATGGATGAGGATTGAGCCAAGAGCTTGTGTGAGCAAATCCAATTTTTGGCAGCAAATGTCAGTTACGCGGTTTTGCAGAATGACGATACGCGGTTTTGTACTTTAAACGACGATATGCATCTTTTTTAAAACTTAAAAATACAATCCATTGAATAAAACGTTACAAATATGTAAGTGTTAGATAATATACATAATTTAATAAAAACACTACTACAAGTAAACTCCTATTAACATACTTTTGATTTTCGTCATCGTTATCGATATTCGACACTGCAATCAAAGCAGCATATCTAATGTATGTAAGCAAAATATATTGCAGGCAGTCCATAAAAGCACATTTCCATTGACAATTGTTTGATTTTACGTTTGTGATTTTTTATAAACAGTGCGTTGCGCACTTCGATAAGTAATTTAAAATGACAATTCGTAGTTTCATTGGAAGAAGAAGAACAAAGTAATAGAAATACGTTTTTATAAAAATACATAAATTGAAATATCTATGTACATAGTTATTTTGCGTTTATCAAAATTCAAAAATAATATTTTTACAAAACTTGATTCTTGTGTAATCCATCAATTATCACTTAACACTAAATACACATTTAAATTTAACATTTTATTTCATTACTTCTATTTTTTATTTTCGTTGCAATTCTTATTTAATCCCGCTAGGCTAGTCCATGTGATTTGCTATAATTTAGCTTAAATCTAATCGGATGGCTTTACTAGACCCATCACTTTTCCTTCAAAAAGGGGCAAAATATCACTGTCATTTACAATCTCTTCCTGTATCACTGGACTATCCGGATCTTCACAATGGGTTTTGAAGAAGAATCTTGTATTTATATAGAAATATATTAAGATTAGTCATAGGTTAAGTATTATAACACTACGTATTTTTTTTTACTTTTGAAATTTACCAAAAAAGAGATATACATATACGGCTATGAAGTAGTATTCAAATGTAGATAAACTGCATTCCCAGTTTTGTTCTGTCGGTTAATTTTTTCGAGATATCGGCCTACTAAGCTTCTGATTTTTAAGTTAGTAGGAACACATATTTTTAATTTTTGGAACTTAATTTGTGCAGGCCGCCCCTGAAATTGTGCTTATTTAGAGATCATTTTGACTCAAGTTTTCCAAAAGAGTTCTAGAAGTTATATTTACAAGGATTTTTCAGGACCAAAATATTCCACAAAAATCGGGTCAGTAGTTGGTCTATGTATGTCTGGGCCGCGTCCATGTATATGAATAGGTGCCCACTGACGTGCCTATGCGGAGGCTCCTCCTCTAGCAAGGGTTTGTTGGGGTGTTCACTTATGTGGCACCCCACCAGAAAAAGCTTACAGAGAAACCGCTGACAAGGGTGTAGCTTCTAGCACTGCGTCCAACTACACCTTTTCCAAACAGTATTTCCGACAAACACAAATGTATTTCAGAAAAGGCCAAGTGAATTTCAGAAAAGGCCAAGTGAATTTCAGAATAGGCCAAATGAATTTCAGAAAAACTCAAATGTATTTCAGAAAAGGTCAAATGTATTTCAGAAAAGGTCAAATGTATATCAGATAAGCTCAAATGTATTTCAGAAAACGCCAAATGTATTTCAGAAAAATCCAAATGAAATTTAGAAAAACACAATTTTATTTCAGAAAAATCAAATGATTTTCAGAAAAACGCAAATGTATTTCAGAAAAGCGCAAATGTATTTCAGAAAAGCATAACTGTAATCTAAAAATATTTTTCTGAAATACATTTGTGCTTTACTGAAATACATTTGCACTTTTCTGAAATACATCTGCGTTTTTCAGAAAAAATTTAAACTTTTCTGAAATACAATTGTGTTTTTCTGAATTTTATTTGGCTTTTTCTGAAATACATTTGACCTTTTCTGAAATACATTTGAGCTTCTCTGAAATATATTTGCCCTTTTCTGAAATACATTTGAGGTTTTCTGAAATACATACAATCATATGCGAGGGCGTTTGCTTTGCACTTCCATATGAAACTCAGGCACTTTCATATGAATTGTGTTTATATGTCAGGGCATACGGGAGGGCGATGACATTTAAAGTGTCAATTTGTATATGTGCCTATACCTCAGGGCAAAACAAAAACAAATGTGGTACAAGTGCTTATGGAGTGAGCAGCTCTGGCCTATGATACAAAAAAGAAGGTAGGTCCACTTAATGACATTCGTTGTTGTTGTTAATCATTTGACTTTTAATAAAACTATGACACTTAATCAAATTCATGCTACCTGATCACTAGAAGTAATCTTTTTTATCAAGATTTCATCAGTCCACTCAAAGATGTGGAATATGATGAACCTGGACATTTTGCCGGCTACATAATTTTGAAAATAGGGATGAGGAACTAGGTTTCAGAACGCATGAAGAAAGTGATCAGAATTATATTTATGTTAATTGTTTACAATGGTGCATAAATTGGAAACTTTCAATTCAAAATTTGTTGAAGTTAATGGTGGTACGCTAACAACAAAGCCAAATTTTTTGCAAAATTTGACGAGAAATTTAAATGTAAATTTGGACCAAGATATTAAAAAAGGTTTTACTTGGGAAGAAAATTCTTTAGAATTAGATTTTTAAATCGCAAGATTGCATTCAAAATAAGATAATGAAAAAAATAACAACATAATGTGCTCGTGGTTTTTATTGTAAAATAAAAAGAACGATTACGGTGAAGTCCTCTTTAACAGTTTACATTTTATATACACTACGTTCTCGGCCCTTCTCTAATATCACCCTTCTCTTAACTTATGTCACTCTTATTAATTGCAACCCGACCTCCACATTAGGGCGGGTGGAAAATTTTATTTTTATCAATTCCCTTGGTAATAGTGAAAATATATTGTATCATGAAGTCAACAAGAAGCCTGCAAAATATTAGTCTTTTATTTTAATTGTAAGAGCCCGCGCATCGAACGCCAAGTGACTCACAGCACACTAGTCGAATAAGACCAATTCTTGCTAACAATTCTGAGTTCAGAAAAAAGGTTTGGTGCATATTATTAGATAATGAATCGGTTAACTCAAAAGATAAAGTCAGATATCGTTAGTCTCAAACTTATCTGTTTTTCAACCAAATTGTAATTGTTTTGTTGATAACTGCATTGGTCTTTAGTCAAAAGATGTAAAGCATTCATATTTCTGAATTGTATTTAGGTCCAAATATTCTAATCTTTTTTAATATGAGCTATGGTATGGAATTTTTGCAAATTTAGGAACAACTTCGGTAGCTCTAATAGAAAAGCCATTACTTTCCATCATCGTGGAAAAATTTTGTTTATGCGAATGAGTATGGAAACACTTAACTGGCACAACTTCTAGAAACACTAATTAATTTACTTATGTTTATGCATACAATATAAAAATTGCAAATATAGGAAAATGACAAAAAATTTTGTTCCACAGTTTTTTATTTTAAAATAATTTGTTTATAATCTGAAAGATTTTCATCATATTGTTATCTTAAATCAGTAACAGTAAGTCTCGCCTTCAATTTGGTAATTATTACGTACCGATCGACTAACATTTACCAAAGTTATATCGAAAAACTTAAGTGGAACTCCAGTTTTTATGTAAAAAAATTTCTATCAATTGTATAAATAAGTTTTAAATGAAAGAACCAGTGTGCCAGGGAGTGACTTTTTTCGTTCAAGTTGAATGCAAAGCAATATCGTCCATTTGGAGAGTCATGGAATTATCTAAAATATTTATGTATGTATATCTAAACACTTATTGCACGTCCCCTGCTTTCAAATAACGGCAAATTTAGAAACCGCGAAAAATGTGCTTCTTCGGTGACTAATGAAACCATTGCCCACCAATTTTCAAGCGTGCATAAATGGAGTTAAAATGGGCGTTTCTCATCATCTTTGACAATACATGTTTGAATTCATTCACCACGATCTTGAAAACTGACCAAATCGGCGTGACCAAGTCCATGGTCCTTTTAATATTATATAAACATCCGAGAACATTAAAACGTATGAAATAAATCTCGTCTCACTTTTTTGTATTTCTCACTTGGTTGCTGAAGTAATGAAGAATTGAAAATTCATGAGGGAAAATTATAGTTTTTGTAAGTTTTATCTTAATATCTTAAAAACTTGTAGACTTATTGAAAAATAATAAATGAACGCGAAGTACTTAATTTAATAACCCTTCATTTTATATGTCGTTCGGTTTATAACAATTAATGCATTCCATAGATATACAAGCCAAAGTTTAATTTTTAAACTACATACACTTTGATTCAATTGTGCGGACTAAAGATAAGTTTTAAATTAATCTTTCGTGGCCAAATACAATACGGTCAAATGCCTTTTATTTTCCTCCACATTCTTGTACGCTATCACTCCCCACTAAACAATTTATGAAAACTGGGTTGAATCAGTGGAGATATGAATTTGATTGGGATGTATTGTTTTGGTACGATCTTGTATTGAAACATATTGTTTTGGGATGAATTGTAGCGGGATTAATTTGTGGGATCAATTTCCGTGGGATATATTTACCGGATACCAACATTTATGTGAGTCTATATCTTCTTCTTCTGGTACTTACAAATATTGAACCAAATTCATAATACCATTTCATGTTCATGAAAGATATAAAAAATGATCGAAAAATCGTACGCGTGCGACCAGTACGTTCGCGCCGGTACTTAAGCTTCTAAATAAAAAACTAATATAGATATTTCAACGCGCAATTAGTTAGGAAGAAGTACCTTTATTACACTTTAATATAAAATTAATCGCTTTAGAATATTCTCTTCCATTTTGCAGTTTCTTGCTTTTTTTCAATGTGAAGTCAAAAGTGACTTCCATATCGTTGCTAACATGTTTGTTGCTAACATATTGAAAAATGAAAATCGAAAGGTCATAATTTTTGCATCAAAGATATACCTAGCAAAATTCTATCGAAACTTAAAAAAAAATAAAAATTTATGTTTTCCTTGTTTTTTGAACTTCAAAAGCGTACGACGTACGGTTCGCGACCGTTGGAAATGCCCATATACATATACTTTATTTTAAGTCGTCCTGCTTTCCTGAAGTATGTACTGCTATGTTATTTGTTCCAATTCCTGTGCCTGCAGCTGAACGATCATTTTCGAAACTAAAAGTAATAAAAACGTATTTGAGAAACTCTATGGGGCAAGACAGGCTACGTAACTTGGCTGTCCTGTCTATTGAAAGATCTATGGCTCTATCTTTAAGCTTTGATGATGTTATAGATTCTTTTGCGGAACAGAAAGCTCGAAAAAATTTAAAATTTATTAATAAATAAATTATCAAAATTAAATTGTTATTTCATTATAAACTTGCACGTATAAATCCATGTTATTGAAAACAAAATGTATTAAATATTTAACTAAAATCCACACAACTATATATTAATACGCTAACATAAATTTTGTCTCCGTTCGTTTGGCGATTCTACCGAACCGATTTCAAAACCAAGAACACCGTTAGAAAGACATTTTTTCGTAGATGATTTTATGATTTCATAATTGGTTGAAAATTACGGCCAAAACCGTCGTTTAAACATTTTCAAATTGTGTATAGATGATGCTGCAACATGTTCAATTTGACATGTTTCGCCTGTTGTTTCACTACACATTTGAAATTAAGCTTTGAAATAAACATAAATATGAAGATGAAGAAATAAATGATAACGATGAAGTAAAAAAAATTTTCTTTTTCTATTCACGTAGATGAGATGAGGTGCGATGACGTGATAAGATGTGACGTGATTTTATGTGATGTGATAGGATGTCATGTCATGTGTTGTCATATCCTCTGATGTCATGTCATATGATGTCATACAATATGATGTCATATCATGTGATGCCACGTCATGTAATGCCATGTCATGTCATACGATGTCATATCGTGTGATGTCAAGTCATGTGCTGTCATGCCATATAATGTGATGTCATATCATATAATGTCATGTCACGTGATATCGTGTGATGTGATATCATATTATGTGATGCACATATATAAAAATACAACGATTGTAAAATCGATTAATTCAGCGATAAATATAACAATCATCAGTATCGATTACTGTACATATCGTTAACAATATAAATGACTAAATCAATAACAAAACCAATTATTTAATCGATTATTATACCGATAAAAATATCCATTATTGTATCGATAACAATATCGATTATTATATTGATTATTATATCGATTACAATAGCGGTTATAACAGTATCGATAACAACATCGATTATTTTGTCAATAGCAATATCGATTATTATATCGATAAGAATATCGAGTTTTATATCGATAACAATATCGATCTTCATCCTCATCCTTTTCTTCATATTTATCTTTATTTTTGCATATTCCTCTTCACCTTTACCTTAAAGTGTTTAAATTTACTTTGATCTTCGTTTTTGCCTGTACCTCTAGGCATCTTTGTTTTTGTTTTTATTCTCAAACCGCTAAACCGCTGAAAACCATTTCCATGTGCATTATTCACCTTTAATTTGACAATTTACTCCCAGCCAACCAACTGCCGCTAAAGAAGTTTCACTTCATAAATTCAAGTAATGTTCTTACCCTTTCAGTTACCCTAATTCTTATGTATCTGTCATTGTCTCCATTTTCGCCTTTATCTTCACTTCTGCC